ACCAAGGAGCTGGGACGTGTGATTCCAGCAGTTTCTCTGGTGTCCCGCAAACGAACTCGGGGCCCCCGGACGGTGGAGTGCTGGGGTGGGAGAGACACCAACCAGTGACAACCCTGACCTCACGTTTACTCAGCTCTCGCCATGAGCCACTGTCCCAAGTGCTTCCCAGGCATTCTTTTTCTTTCTTCCTTTCTTACACTCGCGTTATTTGTTGAAGGGCGACAAACCTAGAGGAAACTATGAAATCCTAAGTGAAGAACTTCGTCGAAGCTTCACAGAGTGAACCAGCACCCCAGGAGCCCCCCCACCGCCCCCTCTGCCGCCAGCCTTCCGGGGGGACACCTCCTCACCGGCCCCCACTACCATACGTTCACGTGGCCCGGGCCTGCAGGGCAAACGCGTGAGCTCGCACACCCTTGCTCTGCGCCTGGCTTCTCACACCCGGCGCCCTGTTGGTCTGATTCACCCACGAGGCCCCGTGAAGGTGGACTTGGCTGCGGCCGTGTATACAGCCTTCCAGGCCACCTATTTATTCGTGCATTCCATTCAGATGGGCGTTTGACCGTTCCTGGTTCTTGGCGATTACGCGCAATTATCAACATCGCTGTCCGCGTCTTCGGGCTGGACACGTGCACTCATTTGGCACCACTGAGTCATAGGATAAGTGTGTGTTCGCTCCAGTGGATTCCACAGTTTCCCGCCGGCTGTAGAGGAGGGCTCTGCATTAACTCTTAATCCGCACGACGGCCCCTCCGCACGCAATATGCTGGACAGCTGTCTCTGGGACCGGCCTCCTCTGCGTGTGTCTGGGCCTGGGCCTTAGCATCACCGATCAGAGGTACCTGCCTAGGACTCTGTGTCTTCAAGGAAGGCCAGCAGGGCCCGTGGCCTCCGGGTACAGTGCTGGCGCTGCTGGTGACACATTCCAGAGGATCTGGTTTTCCTGGTGTCCTGGCCAGCAGGGTGTGGGGCGGGCGAGAACTTCCCTGTGGCTCTTTAGTAAGCTTCTGGGCTGGTTCTATTGTTTGCAACCGAGAACCCCAGGTGATTGGGGGGAGCTGTTTTATTCCCATTTCACAGATGAGGAAACAATCACAAAGAGGTCAAGTATGCTGCCCCAGGTCACACAGCAAGTTTATACCCCACTTAGGGCTTTCTGTCCAAGCTGATGGTGCTTTCTTGTCCATTATGCCTACAATTTGAAGGAAGTGGCGAAATGACTCACTCAGGGTCACACAAGGAGAGCTAAGTCGGGCCGTGTGACTCCCACCCCCACAGAGCTTCCTGCCCTAAAGCCCGAGTGTGTATTTCAGCACACAGGGAGGGAACCGGGAACGCGCATCCATGCGTCGAATAACCATTTTCACTCCCGACAGCTCACGGGGATCAGAAGCTGTGCTAGGTACCAGCAAAACAGCACAAGAAGTAGTGAAGACAGTAGAGGACACACGACCTACGCTATCACGTCAGGTGCTCAGCGCATGGAGGCTAAAGCTGGGCGAGGGACGGGGACAGGAACGAGCGGAAGGCAGGACAGCAAGGTCCTCTGAGGACATCTGAGCAGAGACTCTCCCAGAGTGAGGAAGACCGGAAGGCAGGCAGCAGGGGGGAGGGGCAAAGGCCCCGCGGCGTCTGTGACCCTGTGTTTAGGGACCCCCCCCCCAAGGCCAGTGTGGTTGGAGAGGGGGAAGGAGGGGGCTGGGCGGGGCAGCAGGAAATGAGGACAGAAAGATGGACAGCGGCCAGCTAAGCAGCGCCCTGAGTTTTGCCCTGAGGCTAGTGGGAAGCCTTGGGGGGGATGGTTAAACCCTGCGGGGCCGTGCTGTGGTCTGATTAATACTTCGGGGGGCGCCTGGGTGGCTCAGTCGGTTAAGCGTCCGACTTCGGCTCAGGTCATGATCTCATGGTTCATGGGTTCGAGCCCCGCGTCAAGCTCTATGCTGACAGCTCAGAGCCTGGAGCTTGTCTCAGATTCTGTATCTCCTTCTCTCTCTGAACCTCCCCTACTCACACTCTCTCTCTCTCAGACTTAATATAAAACATTAAAAAAAAAAATACTTCGGAAGGCTCAGCCTGCCTGCTGGGTGATAAAATGGGGCCACGAGGAGGCAGGGGAGGGGTCGGGCGACGGTTCAGGGGCCGCGGTGGTGGAGACGTGAGTTACTCGACAGTCGGTTGATTGTCAGACAGGATCTGAGACTCGTGGGTACTGGGCTCCCAGGGAGAGAGAGGGCTCAATCCCGGGGCTCTGGGGGGGTGAGAACATTGGGGCTGGACCACCCGAGGCTCCCACCAGGGACATGGCTGGGGACTGCGGGTCCAGAACAAAGGGGCCGCCTCTGAGGTCACAAGGAGGCCAGGCTCTCCTGGCCTGGCCCCGGGCCAGTGCCTTTCTGGGGACACTGGTTCCCAGGGCTGAGCGGGGCTGGGCTGGGGCGGGGAGTGGGGTGGCTGACAGGAAAGGGCTATGGCCTCAAGATCTGCAGCTCAGGAAGGGGCCCGAGGGGGAGGGCCCGCCCCGGGCTGTCAACCTGTGCCAGGTATGGCGCCACAGGAGGCAGCATCACCATGGCGCCTGCCTGTTGGGTACAGACTTTGGACCCAGGTCTTTTTTTCCAATCCTGTAACCTCACGGCACCCTTTAAGCAGCTGACGGATTGGTCAGCACTTCCTGGGGCCCAGGAGGGCCTGGATGCTGGAGGAGGGGCAGGTAGAGGCTGGGAGGTTAAGAAGAGGAATTTCAGGGGCGCCTGGGTGGCTCAGTCAGTTAAGTGTCTGACTTCAGCTCAGGTCATGATCTCACAATTCGTGGGTTCGAGCCCTGTGTCAGGCTCTGTGCTGACAGCCAGCTAAGAGCCTGGAGCCTGCTTCAGATTCTGTATGTGTCTCTCTCTCTGACCCTCCCCTGCTCACATTGTCTATCTGTCTCTCTCTCTCTCAGAAATAAATAAAACATTAAAAATTAAAAAAAAAAAAAAAAAAAAGAAGAAGAGGAATTTCAACAGAGAATGCCTCGAAGTGCCCAGCCCAGCATCGGAGTGGGAGCGCCATCCTCAGGGTGCTGGGGGAGCAGGCATACCCATACCTTCCGGCCACACACAGCTGGCTTAGCAGCTGGCAGTTCAAATCCCGGCGTGCCTCAGTTTGCCAAGCCTTTCCCTAGCAAGAAAGGATGACTTCCCGGTCTGTACGTGGTGGCATCTCTGGCCCGCAGCTACCTCGGGCCAGGCAGCCAGGGTGAGATTCCAGTGGCCCGCGGCCAGCTGGGGGGCTCCCTGGAGGCTCAGGAGGAGTCAAAAGGGGGCTCAGTGCCAGGTGCTCAGAACCAAGAGGCCGGAGGAAACCTTCGCACCCGTGCTGCCCAGGGTGAACGGAGCCGTGTCCTGCCACGGGGAGGGTGGGGCGCTGGGTTCATGGCTGCCTGTTAGCCTCCAGCTTCACCGCCACTTGTGAGGGTCACTGCCACACGTGCAACCACAGCGTTGTCCCTTGGCTGCTCCCAGGCTGGTGAGGGAGGGGCTGGCTCCTGGGTTCGCCCCTCTGTCACCCCCGGAGAGGCAAGGTCCTTCCCGGGGGCAGAACCAACACGGACCCCCAGTAACACCCTCACTCCCTATCTGCTGCCTTCTCTCTGACCGGTCAGCGCCTGAACCAGGCTGGTTGGTAAATATTTCGAGTATCCCCTCAATCTGGGGGACCAATGGGCTCCAGTCTGTCGAGAATTTTACCTGGTTTCCCTTTACACCTGAGACTCTGCCTTCCTTCCCATTCAGCTGTGCCTCTGTGTCCTGAGTTTGCACAGGGCATTCATTCTCGGTGACGCAGAAGACGGCCTTCAAGCTGCCCTCCCGAAGCCACGGCCCCCACCCCCAGGAGGCAGGGGAGGGCACCCCTGTGCCCAAGTGTTCTCTGGAGGCCCCGCTGATGTCAGAGTTGAAGAACAACGGAAGATTTGCCCTTGAGAAGGCCCAATGAGCCCCCTCCTCGTGGAAGCGCTCCAGGACCCCGACTCTCAGGCAGGCGGGCCTCACCCCTGCACAGACTCCCTCCCCCGAGCCTCTGGGTGTCTCCAATTCCCTGCGGACACCACACCGTTGGGGAAGGCGATTCCTGGCCGCCCCTCCTACCCTTCAGGTCCTGCCCACCACAGGCTTGATCTTCTGTCTTCGCTTTCCAGCGCCTCCCCTCCCCTGCTTTATCCGGTGGTGACCTCGGGATATGGGCCTGGGCTCACTGGTGGGGCCAGGCCCACCTGGGCTCCGGTCCCCGCTTCCTGTAGCTCCCCCTACCGCCTCTGTAAGACGCCCCACGCTGACAGCAGCCCCAGCTCGCCGTCGACACCGGTTCTCTCCTTAGCCCTCACAGGTCCCCAAGGCAGGAGTTCCGGGTCCCTCTTTTGATGGCAGAGGGCAGAGACCTTCCGCGGGCTCCGCGTGTCTCACGCTCTTACACGACCACCTTGCGGCTCGAATGCGCTGCCACTTGGCTAGAGGCTCTGGGTTCCGCGCTGGAGGACAAGGGCGAGCTCGGAGGCCACGTCGTCTCAGTCCCTAGCCCCTTGGCCAGAGGTTGCTCTACTGTCTCTTCTCCCTTTCCCGGCCCGCAGGCTGTGTCCTCACCCCTCCCCGTCATCTCTGGGCCATGTGGCTCCCCTCACAGCTGTCATCTCGGGGCCATGTCGCTCACCCCACAGCTTTAACCAGCTTCCTCTCCTGCGCGCACCCAGGCCCCCAGCTGGCTGGCGGACACCTGCCCCCCCCCCCATCTGACCCACCCTCATCCACTCTGGGCCTCTCTTCCTCCCAAACCGCTCCCTCCTCTCAAGGGACACCCCCACGGGTCCTGCGGTCACTTGGGTTCCCCGGTCATCAGTTTCGCCTTTCTCCCCTCCCTCGGCCTCCACAGGCCATCACCCCCCCCTCACCTCCTGCCGCTCCCAATACCAATGCCCGGGTTCTCTTTCCGAGGGCGGAGCGCAGGGCCCGGGAAAGCCTCCGCCATTCACTCATTCAACACTTCTTTATTAAGAGCAAGAGCCACACACCTGGCACCGACCCCGCCATGCGGAGCCAGAGACCACACCCGCCCACGGGGACACTCATTCTAGCAGGGGACAGCCAGTAACTTCGATCCAAACACACATCAGGTCAGAGTGACCTGAAAACAGGAAAAGCAGAGCTGGGATAGGTACGCCCAAGCAGGAGCTCCTTTATGCGGGGTGTCCGGGGGGCCCTCCCCCATCCAGAGGGTGGCATGGCTGCAGAGGGCTGAGGTGACACCAAGGTCAAAAGGAACATAACTCTTTCAGGAAAAGGACACTCTCAGTTTTGGTAATAAAAATCCCGGGACTTTATTTCTTAATTGGAAACACTTGTCGCCATGGAGTGGGGGAAGGTGGTTTGCGGGAACATGGTGGGAATCTGGCTGAACAGCCTCTGTTATCTTAAATTCTGAACTACGTGAATGTATTTCTCTTAAAGCATTAATTCATCGAACAGGAAAGAACGTACACAGTCTTGTGGAAACGATGAATCATTCTCACGGAACCATTCCCTTAGAGGGGGCCTGCCTGCATCTCCGCTGATGGCTGCCGGGGGCCGCGCAGCACCCCGTGAGGGCCAAGCCCTGAGGCAGCCGGTGAGCGGGGTCCTCAGCACAGGGAGACAGGTGGCCCCGGGGTACAAGGGAGGTGGCAGCCGACAACGGCCTGGGCGTCTCACCCTTAAGGGGCTCTCCATCCTGGCCCTCACGTTCACCCCGCTTATCATCAGGCACCGCCGCTGCGTCTACTTGGAAAGCCGCGGCCGGACGGCCGCACCCCTACTAAGGGCTGGCCCAGCCGGCGGGAGTTAGCCGGCACGCTCCCCGGTTTTCCGGTGGAGCTGGGGCCGGAGGGCACTTCACCAGGGCGGCCCCATGGAGGTGGGGGTGAGGGAGGGCTGGCTCTGTGAGGGGCAGAGGCCTGAATAACAAACAGGGACTTGAGAAGACAAGATATCCCGAGTTCATCCTCAACATGACAGGCACAGGGCTGTGCAGGCCAAGGGGAAAGGCAGGTCACTAGGTGCCCTGTGGATGAATGTCTGCGGCTCCAGATTCCTGTGCTGAGATCTAATCCCCAATGTGATGGGTGTTTGGAGGGGGCGGGCCTTGGGGAGGAGATTAGGTTTGGATGGGGTCGTGGGGTGGAGCCCCATGATGAGACTGGCACCCTTATCAGGGGATGCAGAACAAAGAACTTTCTCGGCCACTGAGGACAGAGCAAGATGGCCATCTATGAAACAGGAAGCAGGTTCTTGCTAGACATCAAACCTGCTGGGACCTTGATCTTGATCAGACTGCAGAACTGTGAGGGATGTTTGGGAAGCCTCCCAGCCAGTCTTTTGGGGACAGCAGCTTGAGCAAAGGCTGTTTGAAGCATGGCCCGGCGGAGCACGGTGGGGGCCGCGGTGGGGGCCAAACGGGCTCTTGTCCTTCAAATACTCCACAGAACATCACCAGCGCCAGTCACTACACATCCCGGCTGCCAGTCACTCAGGCTGGGCACTCCCAGGTCCTCAGCAGAGAGCACAGCGGAAGCTGAGCCTCGGCGCTCTCTCCAGTGCCTGGCAGCGAGCCTGGCCTGCACCAGCCACTTACAAACTGCGCCACGGAACTTCTGGTTTTAATTAGGGGCGGGGAGCCCTGGAAACCCAGGGTTCTGTCCCACTTCAGGAGACCCTCAGCCTCAATCATCCAGGGCCAAGGACTCTCAAATTTAGGCCCAGTCCCTATTTTCATAACCGAAAACTCTCAGCAGCAGTACCTGTATCCTTCTTCAAAAAAAGCCTATGATTTCCTCTTATTAAAAAAAGAAAGTTTACGGCTTTGCTGGCAGCAGGCAGACGAGCGAGCCGCATTTGCACGCAAGCCTCAAGTAGCTAACGAACGATTACAGTGGCTGGTCCGAGGGATGGACTTTTCCAAACAAAAAACCAGGGTGAAGTTTCAGGCCCTTTGTGGAGGCCGTTTGAGGGATGAGGTCGGGCCGCTCGCTGGGTGGCGTCTCTGGGGCCAGTCAGGGGCCCGTGCGAGGGGAGCCGAAGCCGGAATCCACCGGTTTCTGACAGGTAAAAACACTGCAAGGCTGCCCTGGGAAGCCTGGGGACCGGGGTCCTGCACGAATGCATCAAACCACAAAACACACACACACACTCAAGAAAAACGACCAGGCTCCAGCTTCGTGACCCTCAACACGGCACGTAACACTCGGGGCTGCCGGTCCCTCATCAGCCCTGCGGAGCATGGGATGCCCTCCGGGACATCATCGCTGCCCCCCCCCCCCCCCGCCCCAGCAAACCAGGTTTGGTTTTATCAGGGTTTGTGAGAAGCCATTAACCTCTCCGGGACTCAGTGTCCTTCTCTAGAACAAAGAGAAGATTGGAAGAAGCCATCTTGAGCAGTGAAGGGGAGTGGACTCTGGATTTCAGCAGGCAGTCTCAGCCCTTGTGACGCGAAGCAGGTTACTGGACCTCTCTCTTTCCCTGCGCAGTGGGGACAATGGTGTCTGCTGTGAGGCCTTCCGTCCGTGCGCCTCCTTCTTTCTCAGTCCACGTTTTGTAAACGTGAGAGGAGCATGAACGCGCTGAGGTGTCTCGAAAGAAAAGCCAAGCCCTTCAGAAGAATGCTAGCAGTGACCGGGTCCCTCTTCGGACAGTCGAGGGCCTCCTTCTGATCACCCGCCGTCTCGGAGGCTCTCAGGGAGGCTCTGACCGAGAGAGCACGGGAGGCTGCGGGGAGGGGGCACCGTGGTCGCGGTGGGCACCACCTCCTACGGGCTCTGCAGCGACGGCAGGGCACCGGAGCGGCAGGAGAAGCCCCCTGGCTGGGGGGTGTCGCTGCGGTGAGGCGGTGAGCTCCCTACCGGCAGGCAGCTCAGCACCGCGCCGGGGACCCGGCCTCGGAGGCAGCGCCGCAAGAGGTACGACTCCGAGGAGCAGTTTCTGCTCTACGTTAACCACAGAAAGGAAGACTCTGGTCACAGGGAAACATTTACAGGTTTCCAAAGCCAGCTGTGGGCGGACGTCATCTGGGGGGACAGGGCGGGGCTCCTCCCACAGTGGGGACAAGACACCGCGCAGGCACGGGGCCAGGCCGGCACTCCTCTTGCGTCCCCAGCCTTCGCAGTGGCCGCTCCAGAACGTGTGCCCCCGGCTCTCACACGCCGCAGGCAGGTGCAGGTGGCGGTGGCTTTCCCGTACGGAGAGAACACCGTTTCCAACCCGGCACCAGACCCATCCGCCCCTCATCAGAAGAATGTATTTTACACCTGGAAAGAGTCATAACTCCAAGATGCCCCACACGTCGTCAGCTTCACCTTCCTCAGACCCGGGGTCTCTCCCCTCTGCGGAGGGACCCTCTGGCTGCGGCGGAGACACGGCCGCGGGGAAGGGGGCCACCTCCCTAGCAGCATGCAGCCGCTCATGGCTTGGATCGCTCCCTGTGCGAGCACTGGGGCCGCGGGGGAACGGGGTCTGTGGGCGGGGTGACCCCGTACAGCCAGGAGGCAACCCAGGTCCTCATAAAACTCTGCTCTTGTTTGCTGCTCGCCGCAGCCTGGAAGGCTGGCTCTGTACTAGCTACGGCACCTCGCCAGCTAAGTGAATGTGACAAGACCGCAGAAGGCTGGCGGCGCTAAGGACAAGGACTCCCGTCAGGGTCCTGGTGCTGGACACTGGCTTCTAGGAAGCAGGTGGCCGCAGTCCAGTGCCCAGTCCCCGGAAGTGGCTACATGCGGGAGGTAAAGGTTTGAGCGGCTTGGGCACGCTGACCCCACGGGGGAGGCCAGCCCCCCCGCCCCCCCCATCTGCTGTGGCCACGGGTTTCAGAGGCCGGCAAGGCGGCGCACGAGAACCAAGCACAAGCTGGCAGTGAACCCAGGGTGCCCCCTCACTCCATGGCAGCAAGGGTCAGGGCCTGGCGCTCCACGCTCCTAAGGCTCAGAGTGGGATCTGCGGCAGGACTGGCTTGGCTGGTTTCAAAGACTCCAGTTCAGCAGCGGCGGACGGTCAGACAAACTGGGACAGGTTGGGGACTTTGATGTTGAGGTCACCAATGTTGATGTTCCGAGGAATCTCCGGCAGGTTGATGTTTTTCACGGCGGACACGGCCCGGGCGGGGGCTGCCGAAAGGCCACCCTGAGGAGACACGAGAGGGGGCATGAGATAAGCGCTCAGCGGCGGTGGTAGCTTAACGCTTAAAAACACAAGCGACAGAGACCCGGGAAGTGTCCCCACAGAGCAAGCACAACGCACGCTTTGATTTTTCCTCCTTATTTCTCAAAGGTGTAGCCGACGCAGCAATCCCGAGGCTGGACGGGGGCTCGGGGGCAGGGCTCCGCAGTCTGTGCTCCCGACGGGGTGGTGGCTTATGCGGGGTGGTAACCCCAGCACCTGACCGTGCCTGGCACACAGCAGGTACTCAATAAATGCTTGCTGGAGTAACTGGAGACTGTTTAACCACTTTCCAGACTACAAAACAAAACAGTCGTGAGGCGGGCGCCGTCACGGGAAAATGCTCACAGGGAAAAGCAAAGTCAGTTCAGGGCAGTTGCCTGCCAAGTGTCAACGTGAGATGGGAGAGAGCTGGCTTCGGAAATGCCATGTGGCAGCAAGATGGGAGGAAGGACATGTGGACGGTCTGACACGCCCGCAGCCCCGGAAGGACTGGCCACACAAGCAGAGAAGGGGTCCACGGTCAGCGCTCCCCTGGCTCACCCCCCGCGTGCGGAGAAGGGGAGGAGCCAACGCGGCTCTCTCGGAACCGTGTCCCCTGCGTGACCATCGGGATACTGACTCCGGTTCCGCTCTCGCCCAGCACGTCCCCATTCTTCCGGTTTCCAAACCCTTTGCCTCTGACTCACTTACTAATCCTGGAAGCTTCCCAGCCTGTGTTACTAAAGGAACTGTCACGCCGTTCTAGCTGTGGTCTGGGGAAGCTTCCTCAGCAGGGCTGCCAGTCCTCACGGACACAGGAATTCCTGGCTTTGCAAGATCAGCTTCCATTACAAGGAGCAGTGAAGCTCTTGAAGACACTCAGATAATTAAAATTCTATTTCTGCCACGCATGAAGGTGTATGCCTATAGCCTCTACTCTACTCCACTCTCCAGCCAGGGTGACGGAGGTGATGGAGAAACTTCAGGGGGGAGGACAGAATCCACCGTGAGCGGTTTTTGTTTGTCAGGTTTTAGGTAATCTCCACCTGCAGCGTGGGGCTCAAACTCTCGACACAGATCAAGAGTCTCACGCTCTGCCCACTGAGCCGGCCAGGCGCCCCTGCTGGGAGCATCTGTATGAAGCCCAGCATGGTGTGGCGGCGGGCCGGGGTGGGCAGTTTGCAAACGCAGCCCAAACTCTACTCTAGCTGAGTAGAAGGCTAACTGGAAATTAGGATACTGCCAAGTCTAAGGCCCGAGAGACCCCACGAGAAAGGGCTGCTGAGAGCAGACCCCTCTAGCGCTGGGACACCACGCTGGGACCAGAGAAGGGGATCCCCGCCAGGGAACGTGTAGCTTTGAAAGGAGGAATCGTAAACCATAAGCACCGGCCAGAGGCCCCCAAGCCAGGCGGTGTCTGTCTTCTTGTGCCATCTGGCTTTTTCGGCCACACTTTGCGCCTTATTCCTACTTGCTTAATCTTCAGGGCTGGCCTTCCCACAGGCGGGTTTTGATGGACTCAGGGAGGACAGAAGAGAAGTACGCACATTCCCGAAGTTCCACAGCAACACAAACCAACACGCGCATCCATTCCTCCTTCCACCCCGGGCTTCTCGAACCGCACCGGCCAGGGCACTCACCTCGGATTTCTCCAGCCGGTTTTGAGCTTCAATCTGCGCCACGATTTCATTCATGTTGGTTTCCAACACCATCCCCCCCATCACCACCTCCTGAAGGATGTAGTGCACCTACAGGGGAAGCGAGAATGAGAAGGGGTGGAGCGCCCTGCGGTGGCTGGGGGGTGTGACCCACACGGAAACCCCGCGGGCCTTCCTGCACCAGCACGGCGGCTGGCCCGATTCCCAACCGACACCTAGGCGGAGCGCTCCGCCTCTCATGTGAGACCACGGGGCGCCCCCGCGTCTGGCCACACCAGAACACCAATCTCTTCCCTGAGCAGTGGTGGCTCATTCCTACCGGCTGGCCACACTCCGGGCAGGGGCTGGTGGCTGAGCACAGGCTCTCAAGTCACACAGACCTTGTTTAAGCTGGGTGACCTTGGGCAAATTACTCTTTCCGTTCTCCAGCCTCCTTCCAGAACTGTGGTGAGGACTGAGAACCTGTACCAAACACCCGGCCTCCACACGGGTTCTAAGCGAACCAGGCTGGCGTTCGTTACTGCTCTCAGTAGCAGCACTGCTGACGCACACTCCGGTCATGGCAGCAGCAGCACGACAGTCCCTGCCCAAGCACAGTCCTACGTGAGATGGGACGTCTCCCGGGCTTCCTCAGACCCTCCAGCCTGCGCTCCGCTGGAGGCGAAACAGACCCACGCCTCTGTACCTGTCCTCATCCCTTTCTTACAGCTTGGATAAGAAATCCGGTTCTTTAGACCCTGACCACCTTGTCAGCATTGCCTGTCGCATAAATCCGCCTTCCGGCCAGATCCAGGGGCTCGCAGACCCACCACAGCGGAACCACTTCCTCCGGTGCCTTTCACCTAAAGTCCTTCTCTCTGCTTCTCCAATGTCACAGCCCAGCTCAGTCCACCCACCATCTGGGTGAATCTCTCTGGTCTCTCTAGCTGCCCTCTTCCTTCTCTCACTGATGACTGGCGCTTAATTAACAACAGAAGGTGGCACCGAAAAGGCCACGCTGGTAGGATGTGATTTGAAGGAAGTGGCTCCAACCCTTAAAGATCCCAGCGAGCGCCTGTGACCTGCCCGTCTGGGGTCTCTATGGCAGCTGCCACGGTACGGAGGGGGTGGGGGGTGCTGGAGTCCGCACAGTGGCACGAGCACACGGAGACTCGGCTTTGCTAAAGCTGCGGAGGCCTGGCTGGAGGGACCCGAGTCCACACGTGGGCCTGGCGCCCAGAGAAGTATTCGCGCGGAACCTGTTGACGAGGTGGTCTGGGTCTGAAGTTTGGGGCTGGGTGGTTTTCTGCTGGGGGAGCTGTCCTGTGCACGGCAGCCTGGTCCCCAGCACCTCTGGGCTCTGCTCACTAAAGCACTCTCCAGCGGTGACACCACAAATGTCTCCTGGCGAGCGTGTCCCCGGTTTAGCCCCATTAGTCTAGTGTCTACACTGGACCGCGGAGGACGTGAAGCCAATTTACTCGATAGGCAATGAAGAGTCCAGACCCAAGACGTGTCTGTGTGTCTGTGCTCTCGTGCACGTGCACGTCTGACACGGGAAGTTCTCTGGCCCAGCAGCTCTTCCTATCCTGCCCATGGAGGGAGGGGTGTAATAAGAGCGTATGTTTACATACAAATAAAGCACATTCACCTACACTGAGCTTTATTAACCACCTTCTCATCTACACGTACACACTCGTGTGGCATTCTTAAATCTTATACAAGAGGAATTATTTCAATATTTTAATGCAAATGGAGATTTAACAGTAAACCTCTCATATTTAGATAATTTACAAAGTGTTAAACGATACTCGTCTTAAAATTATTCACTGGGGAATGACACTGTATTTTCCCATCAAGAAATCAGCTGCTGGGGGCACCTGGGTGGCTTGGTCGGTTAAGCATCCGAGTCTTGATTTTGGATCAGGTCATGCATTCACAGCTGTGAGATCGAGCCCCGCATCAGACTCTGTGCTGAGCATGGAGCCTGCTTGGGATTCTCTCTCCCCCCGTCCCCCCCATCCCTCCCCAGCCTGAACTCAAGTGAAGAAGGAAGAGGAGGAGGAAGAGGAGGAAGAGGAAGAGGAGGAGGAAGAAGAGGAAGAGGAAGAAGAAGGGGAGGAGGAGGAAGAGGAGGAAGAAGAAAGAAATCAACCTCTGAAAATAGTCTGGTGGTTTCTCAAAACATTTTGAACAGAATAACCATACAACAGAACAACCCCAATATACTTCAAAGATATAAACCAAGGATTCAAAAGATACTTCTACACCTATCTTCACAGCAGCATTATTCACAAAATAACCAAAAGGTAGAAGCAACCAAGTGCCCATCGGTGGACGGATGGATAAATGTAATACAGATACACAAAGGAATATTATTCAGCCTTAAAAAGACAGAATACTCAGACACACGCTACAACACGGATAAACCTTGAAGCCAAGACACCAAGTGAAATAAGCGAGAAACAAAAGGAGAGGTATGGCACGATTTCTTTATATGAAGTACCCGTAGCCAAACCCAGAGGCAGAAAGTAGAAAGGTGGCTGCTGGGGTTGAGGGAGGAGGGGACGCCTGTCATTTATTTGGAACAGAGTTCAGTTCTGCAAGATGAAGAGAGTTCTGGAGAAGGGCTGCACGATCATGTGGATGCACTTAACACGACTCAAGTGTACACTGAAAAATGAAGATGGCAAGCTTTGTTATGTAATATTTACCATAACTAAAAACCAAACAGAAGTGTCCACACCAGTACTCCTAGCATTTTATTCTGTTTAATGAGCTCCTTCATGGGAGGAAGCAGTACTTGTTGAGCGTCGACTCTTTAATGCGTCAACACTTTACATGGGACTTACTTTAAATTTAGTAATATTTGGGGCACCTGGGTAGCTTCGTCACTTGGGCGTTGGACTTCAGCTCGGGTCATGATCTCACGGTTCGTGAGTTCGAGCCCTGTGTTGGGCTCTGTACTGATATGTCGGAGCCTGGAGCCTGCTTCAGCTTCTGTGTCTCCCTCTCTCTCTCTGCCCCTCCCCTGCTCACACTCTGCCTCTCTCTTTCTCAAAAATAAATACACATTAAAAACATTTAGTCATATCTATCTGAGGTAGGTAATACAATCTTCATTTTATTTATGAGGAAAAGGATACATAGAAAAGGCAATAAACTATTCCAATGTCACAGAAACCAGTAGTAGAACAGAGCACTGAGTCTAGGTCGGTCTGGCTCCAGAGCTCACGTGCTACCCTTTCCACCACGGCTCCTCAAAATCCCAAGCTGCATCTTCCACCTGCTCATCCTTTAGCCCTGGTCCGTATGGAATCATTTTAAGAGTTGCCTTCAGTGAGTCAAAGATCCTGTAGGAATTCTCTGTGCTTTATCCCCAAGGTCTAGTGAGCAGTAGGCATGTTGACTGAATAATGGGGCTTTTCCTAAGTCTGAGCAGCATATTTCTTGGGCTTTAGGTGCTTAGAAGACACATGGCTGTGTGCTGGTGGAGGCCTGATGCAGGAGGTGTGGTAAAAGGCCTAATACAGAGTGTCACAGGGCCCAGCAGCTGGGTCGCAGCAAATGTTAGTCAAGACTTCTGATCTGAATATTGCATCATGAAGTCATAATTTTAAACTGCTATTCCAGATGTGTTCAAAGTGCAAAAAGGAGAAATAAACAAACATGCAAACTGCGTTTTTAACAAAACTGGAAGACAACCCAAGCCCCAGACCCTAAACAGCTAGAAAAGCAAGGAGCTCAAGCAAGGCCCCTTTCCTTTAGAGAAAGAAAAGAAGAAAGGATACCAGGGAGAGGGGACATGAGAGCTGGAGAGAAAGATCTGCCAAAACATACTTCCTGTGGGTAAAGGACACACGCCCTGGGACCCAACAGATTCCTTGCTGGGGAGGCAGGAATGTCCGTGGACCTGGAGCCAGAAGCACGGGAGAAACCACACAAACAAGCCGTGTCGCCTCAGAGTTCACCTCCGTGGAGGTGTCTGCAGCGCGGAGGAGCTTGCAGGGTCTCTCTCTACTGGCTGGACGGGGAGAAAGGGAAAAAGGACTCACCCCGGACCCTAGATCTGTCAGAACAAGGACTGCAGTGAGCCTGGAACACAGACTTGGGGCCTCCTGTCAACCCGCACCCCGCAAACGCTAGTCCCTGAGACGCTCCCCCGCCCAAACAGGACGTGTAGGAATGAAGTCTACACAGGATGTGCACAAAGATACAACAAGAACAAAACGAGGAAAGACACGGCAAAACCAAACGGCAGACGAGGACCACACACTGGAAAACCGCCGCCACGAGGGAGATGGATGGCAGGACAATCTTCTTGCAAAACTGAAAAAAAAGCAAACTGGGGAGCAAGAGCTCAGGGCGGAAGGGCAAGCGCTTGCGGGAGAGGCGGGGAGGCGGCAACAAGAGAAGACCCGGCGGGCAGTGCTCCGGGGAGACGGGGGAGGAGGCGGTGTGGAAACGAGGGGGAAACTAGAAGGAAGCAGAGGGAGAAGAGACACCCCTGAAAGCGTGGCGAGGGACACAAAGGAGGGAAATGGAAAAAAGCAGGTACAATGAAACAGAAAAGGCTGAAAGGAACAGAGAGAAAGAGGGGAGCTGGAGGAGCCGGCAGAGGACGTGCAGCAGGTGCAAAAGGGAAACGGGGGCGCGGGGCAAACACACAGGAAGAGAGGTGTTCGCAGCGGTCACGTGAAGGTGATTCAAGCCAGTTCTGAAACAAAAGACGGTCCACCTATTGAGGCGCCACACTGTATCCCGGGGAAAACTGACCCACAACAGTCAATGCCGAGACAGGCCCTGAGGGTACGAATGCTGGACTTCTGCACAAGGCACAAAGATCAAATTATTTAAGAGCGGGGTAAAATCTTGAAAATTTCCACAGGAAAATCCAATGCTAGCAGAAAAAAGATGTAATACCTGCAAAATTCCCAAAGAGAGAAAGTGTAATCCAAGAATTCTACACCCAGTCAAGAGTAACAGAATGGGAAACCCTCTTCCTGTGAGTCTTTCTTAAGAAATCGGCAGCCACGGGGTGACGGCAGAGAGCCTGGCGGTGAGCACTGAGTCTGCTTACAGGGAGGACCGAGGTTAAGGTGGGGTTACAG